AAGTTGATAATCAACCATTAGAAGCCCCACCTGCTGATTCTTTAAGGAGATCTAACAAGGATGAAAGGCCACATATTTGGCTCACAGATTATGTTACAGCTGCAGCCACCACAGCTCATTAAAATTCTTATTCCATCAGTAATTCAATCAGGTATGATATTATACATCACAAATATAAGAATTACTTAGCTACATTCTCTGCTATTGAAGAACCAAGAAACTTTGTGGAGGCATCCAAAGATAAGAGATAAGTGGCAGTTATGAAGACAGAAATTCAAGTACTAGAAGACAATTGCACTTGTGAACTTATCCAATTACCATCAGGGAAGAGACCAATAGGATGCAAATGGGTCTATAAAGTGAAGTACAAGGCAAATGGTTCTATAGAGAGGTTCAAAGTTCGATTGGTTGATAAAGACTACAACCAAAGAAAAGGATTAGATTACAATAAAACCTTCTCCCCACTGTTAAAAATTACAACAATCAAATCAGTCATTGCTCTTGCAGCAGCTGAAAATTGGTACATTCATCAAATGGATGTGTACAATGCATTCCTTCAAGGAGATTTACATGATGAAGTCTACATACATTTACCAGAGGGATTCACCAGCTAGGGGGATCCTGAAATTGTGTGCAAACTTGTTAAATCCCTCTATGGGCTCAAACAGGCTAGTAGATAATGGAATTTGAAGTTGACAGATGCCTTGCAGGAATTTAGTTTTGTGCAAAGCTGCCTAGATTACTCTTTCTTTACAAAGAGGAAGGATAGCAGTACAGTCATCATACTTGTCTATGTTGATGATATGTTGGTGCCTGGGAATGACTTAAAGCTAATCGAGGAAACCAAGATAAGACTACATAAGGCATTCAAGATCAAAGATCTAGGGGAACTCAGATATTTCTTGAGTTTGGAATTCAGTAGATCAGAGAAAAGAATTCTTATGAACCAAAGAAAGTATGCACTGGAGCTCATAGGAGATGCAGGGCTGAGTGCTGCAAAACTATCATGGACTCCTCTTGATAACAATAAAAATGTACAGATAAAGAACTGAATGAAGTCACAAGTGATGAACTACTTGAAGATAGAGGAAAATATCAAAGGCTAATAGGGAAGCTATTGTATTTGACAATAACAAGACTGGACATTGCATTTGCAATTCAGACACTCAGCAAATTCCTATAGCAACCCAAAAACTCACACTGGGAAGCAACTCTATGAGTTGTGAGGCATGTGAAAAGGGAACCCGGACTAAGGATTCTGATGAGCTCAAAGAGGCTAGAGAAACTGAAAGCTTATTGTGATGCAGACTGGGCTTCATGTCCAAACACAAGGAGATCAGTCACAAGGTTCATTGTGAAGTATGGAGATTCTTTGATATCATGGAAATCAAAGAAATAGATACAGTATCCAAGAGCTCAACTGAAGCTAAGTATAGAAGTATGGCAGTGACAATGTCTGAACTAGTATGGCTAGTAAGGTTATTTAATGAGCTTGGAGCAGAGATGAACCTACCTGTAGAACTATACTGTGACAGTAAGGCAGCTCTATAATAGCAGCAAATCCAGTTTATCATGAAAGAACAAAACACATAGAGGTAGAATGTCACTTCATTAGAGAATACCCAATTAGGCATGAAGACTTTGTACATCAATTCAGAAGAACAACATGCAGACATCCTTACAAAAGCATTAGCAAGATCACAACATGAATATCTTGTATCCAAGCCGGGAGTGCTAAATGTGTTTGCACCTGCCAGCTTAAGGGGGAGTATTGAAGGAGCAATAAATTGAGGGACACATGTCAATAGGCTGTAGTTAGTAGCTAATTATGTAATTAGTTAGTTAGGTGGTTACATTGTTATATTAGTTATTGACAACTGTCATTAGAGGTTAGAACATGTGTATATAAGATTGCATTGTATCTCTTCAGTAATGAATCAATTTTCATTTCCTAAACATAGCTCTCATGCTCTGCCTTCTCTCTTAGTTAAGCTCGCTCACTAGCAGTATATAGGGTTCCTAATTATGATAGAGTAAGGTCGTTAATGGTGATTCTCGACAAAACAAACTCAGTGTAATTTCACAAGTGTGATTTAGGGAGGGTATTGTATACGCATGCCTTACCCCTACTTTGTGGATATAGAGAGGTTGTTTTCGATAGATCTTTGGCTCGAGAAACTATCTAGTACATTAGAGATTTTCTTAAATACTTTATTTAGTGGTTATATATCAAATACACTAGCCATAAGAGTCTTGTTGTAAGTCTTAGTCTTCTAGTTGATATCATCTACAAGAATCTTTAATTTTCCTTATTTTTTATTTTCCTAGGTTTATGTTAATGTAGATTTCAAAATATTCTAATTAAATCTACCGAGATGACTTTCATATTCGGTGATTTTAGGTCTACTTCTTGCTTCAATATCAAGTTTTAGCATAAATCAATAAAAGTATAAAGGCATTTAATCATATTTAGTTAAAATTTAAATTTTTCACATGTTCTTTTGAAAAATTTCCCGAAACTAAAAGGGGAAAAGATTCGTTCAAATAATAATATCTAGAGTGGATATTTGTGTAAGCTTCATAACTATACAGTGAGCAGTACTAACAGCAGCATCAAGACATGATCTCGAAGAGAAAAGAAAGAACATTAAATGAAGTTATGTATTGACATGACTATTCAGCTCCACGCATGTACATTGCTCTCCCCTAATTCCTACCTGCCATTACATCTTTGCTAGTGCTGCTATGTCCTTCAATTCTACTACAAAACCTGTGGTTCCATTTTGACTCTTTCGCTTACGTTGTTTTACACCATATGCTTTCGTTTTATTTATTAAGGTCATCTTTTTTATTATAGATATTCTTTAGCTTGGTTAATTATATTATTAGTTTAAGAGTGCTCGTCTGCATGCATAGATGACACACATAAGGTAGTATTACACTAGATTTGATGTGTCTACGTTATGAATTTGTGTATGGACATAAATACTCTTTTTGGTTTAACTTCAAAAGATAAATAAGCAATACTAAAGACTTTACCACTTTTGGCATGATATATATATATATATATATATATATATATA